TAAGTCGCACTGGTTTCTGTAGCATACACCTTTGTCGCACTCTGACGGGACGCCTTTAAATTACAGTGTAGACGACCCATTTTTTCGTCGTTTGTTTGGGGGAGTGTGTCTGTCGCGGACGGTAGGGTTGGCGGGCGCGATCGGCATGTTGTGCCGCGAGTGCGGTGGGGCGGCGCGGGGCGGGGGGCACGATCTGGGTCGGCCGCCGCGGCCGCGCGCCGGGCAGCTGGGTACCGCATGCGCTGGGCCGCCACGGCGAGCCGTTGACCCTTTCACACTCACACACGCACACACACTCTCACACACACAATCCACTCATGCATGAGATATATGACCGATAGCGGCGTTTCCGGCCAAGCGCCGAAAATAGTGGAAAAAAAAATTAATTGTGTGGGAAAACATGGTCGCGGAAAGTCCACGTGCCCGCGTGCGCTTTTCAGCACGCCCCTTTCTCTTGTCATATGCACCCCTCCCCCTCTCACCATCTCTCTGTCTGCCTCTGTCTCGCTCTCTCTCGCACTCTCTGTGGTCTGGTGACAATCGCGGGACCTAATTCATATGAACAGCCTCGATTAGCTTGCCTTCGCATTCACCCGCTTCCCCCCGGCGCGCGCCGCCGCTGCGCTCCACCTTGTCCCGGTTCTGCTGCCCAACAGTGTGTGGGTCACGCCGGAGATCGAGGACGGCCACCCCCGCGCGCGCCTGCGCCATTTAGTGCCTGCGCGCTGCTGCTGTGCACCGCGGCCGTTTCCTGCGCTACGCGCCGTTGCGGGCGGATTTTGGCTGCACTGCCTCTGGCGCGGCAAGGGGTCATCCAGAAAGTACACGTCCGTGTTGCGAAACCGCCAAGTTCAGCCGCAGCCTGTGCACAGCTCTCATGGCGCCTGCGAGGTAGGCAGCATCTCGCCGGCTGTGCGTACGTGCACTGCGGGGTGGCCTACCCCGAGTATCGCAGGCGTCGAGCTGGGCTACCATGATTCGCCGCATGAAACTGATGAGA